TATATATATATATATATATATATATATATATATATATATATATATAATTATTATATCGTAATGGAGCGAATCTCTTTGCAACGGCTATAGATACAAATTATTTATTTTTACGTTAGAGAGCGTAATATGCACGTCGGTGTACGTGTGTGCGCGCGCGGATGATTAGAAATGTATCGTATCCGACACGTACACGATGTTCGATATATAAATATATATACGTGATAAGTGTAACATTATACAGTCGTAAGTAATCATAGTAGTAAAAAGTAAAAACGGTATGAAAAATTATTGTATTGTTTCCCATTACTTATTATTATTATTATTAGGTCATGCTCCAAAAAACAGCCGCACTGGGAACGCGAATATCCTCGTTTTGAATTCTTTCACGACGAACAAATAACATAACGGAGTTGAGAAAATAGTTGGGAAGAGTCGAGAGTATATATTTCCAAGAATTTTCGACTTTTGAGTTTTTTCAGGTGAAATCACGATTTAGATCGTTAGATTCGAAAAAAAAAAAAAGAAAGAAAGAGTAGAAAATATTGAACCCGTTGAAAAACTCTCGGCTCTGTTGCAAGAAATAATTTCTTCTCATTAAGTCGTAACAGCGTATGGTGTTTGTTCGTCCGATGATTAATTTTAGATGGGCATATTACATAAGTTTCTTTTAATCATTCTTATATTATAATCTCAAAATATCGCGTTCTTCGTCAGCTTCGAACATGGAACAATCGTATAAATACAAATATCGTTCAAAATATCGTATTGCGCGTAATAACGAGATTGGTGATGGTCGATGCTTTCTCGTGGTGACGGTATGACAATGCTATACGACTAGGTAAGTATAATGATTCGCGAATGACGTTGTTACTTTATAAATACAGAATTCCATAGCGTTTTCCATAGAGTTGAGAAATGATCGATATCCGAATATAAGATGGAAATCTGTGTATATACGTCGATTTTACAATAGAAGAGTAAAATGTTCAAAGACGAAATAGGTTTTCTTCTTTTTTCGATTATATCTCTATCTGGTGGAAATATTGAGGAAATTTTAAGTGGTAAAACGTTGCAAAACGTATTCATCCAAGAAGGTGTACAATTGATCAATTCTCTAATTTTCTTTTCTTACGAA